TTATAGTCCAAGGTAAAACAACAGCCACAGGTAGGGAGGACAAAAAAAAATCACAATGTATTCAAAATGTATTCTCCTCTAAGCTCGTCGTGAAGAAGATGCTGTGGCTAAATAACAGGTCTGATACAGAGAGATGCTTTTCCACTCCTATTGCTCCTTCTGTACGGAAAAATAAAAAATAAAAATGAGTGAGGAAGAGAGAGAGAGAGAGAGGGAGAGAGAGAGAGAGAGAGGGAAACAGCTGATCCCCAGCTTCACCAATCCATTCTAGTGGGTGGACACGAAGCTGACAATCTATCAGTTCTCCTTCACCAGATGCATTGTATCGCTAGGAATAACCCATGATACATATGCATTAGGGATAAAAAGCCAATCATGAGTCATTCCACGTGTAGCATTATTAATCATACCGATAGATAATGTCACCAGCACTATCTCTGCCATTTAAACAGCATCACAAAATTCCCAGAATAGGAGAGCATCATTCACCTGACACCGAATGACGGTATAGAGATGGAGGGATAGAGGGACGGATGGAGGAGAACAAGAGGAGAGCCAGGGAGGGGGGTGGATGGGTTTGAGAGGGAGATGGAGGGAGACGGTAAGTGCTGTAAGTCTGTGCAGCTGTTTACCTGGCAGCCATGCAGCGGTCAGCTCGTGTTATTACACATCAGACCCCGGTCCATGTACCGGGCAATGGAATGGCTGAGCTTGCAGGCAGAGATACAGCTTACATGCAGAACAGCTCTAACTCATTCACTGCCAGGGATGCTGCCCGCTATAAACCCTCCAGCCTAAAAACACTGCGAATGCCAGTGTACTCCCTGGGTCCAATGCCATGCCTGGCCAGCTTCCTTGCCTAGAACAGGTGAGCTGGGCTTGCACCATCCCATATCTCCTACCTGTGCTCTCTGCTCCTGCCCGGCACTGACAGCTCCACACTGCTGGTCTCCAATATGGGCTTTTACACACTGTCTCCAGTGCTAATAATAAGTAGAAGCGTCTCCCTCCCCATTCCCATGCCAATAGCTTGTGGAAGGAGAAGTGACGTGAGCAGTGACGCAGGGCAGGGGCAGAAACCCAACATCATCCTCCAGGAGCAAAGCAACAAGAGGGGGGACCAATGGGATGTGCCTTCATCAAGACACAATTAGGCACACTGTCCTACACACATACTCTGCTACAGCCTCAGTGTGCCCCCCACCTACACCCCCCCCCCCTTTATTTTATTTTTTAAGATTCCTTCAATTTGGAGATGCAGAACATGAGTTTGTGTATAGCTCCTGATCATATGGTACACAGAATCCAGCTAGCTACACCTACACACAAGGAATGAGAGAGAGAGAGAGACGTGATTGGAATGCTGAGAATTCTCTCCTCCAATACAGTTTGTCATGGCATTCTACCTGCTTCTATTAATATGCTGCACACTGGGTGATACATCTCATGTACCGATCTGCATTGTCATCTCCCACAAATGTATATTTAATGAATGTTTACTCTGTCCTGCAAATATCTCACATTGCCCGTTAAATCCTTGCCCACGCTCACTTGTACAAGAAAATAAAAACGAAGCGCTCACCACGATCCTTTAGCAATCTCAGGATATATGCATGTGTGTGTGTGTGTGTTTATCCTATGTATGTGCTAGAAATGTGCGTTTTATTGAGAACTGCAGTGCAAACGACGAAATAACTGCAGATAATGGTATTTAACAACATGATGGTTTATCAAACATAGTTGGTCATAAATGACTGGTATTAAAATGGTGTGTCTGGGAATATGTCTTTTCATTTGTGGTTTCAGAGAATTTTTTCCGCAGTAATTTAAAAGAAGCAAAGAAATCTACCGCATTGACAGGCAAGGATGCTGAAAAGCCTTCGGGGAGCTCTGCTGACCCCATGTGGTAGATATACGTGACTGCAGGTAGCAACAAATGAACATACAATTTCTCAAGGGCAAGATCTGAGAGTAATTTCTCCTTACTGCCTTTCTTGTTTTCCAACCCAAAAAATTCACTTAGTTGTACATCTATGCTTTAACTATGCCTCGGGGATTACATGGAGCCTTGTGCCTGGTAATACTTCATTTCTAAAGTTCTACTCTCAATAATTCATGTTACAATTGTAACATGCAAGCGAACAGAAGCTTTACCCTTATTTTATAGGGTAAGCATTAATACTAACAGGTGAGGAGAGAGAGTATTAGGCTGATCAGAGGGCGATGTTTGTTATATTGTAAGCATTAATACTAACAGTTGAGGAGAGAGGGTATTAGGCTGATCAGAGGGCATGTTTGTTATATTGTAAGCATTAATACTAACAGGTGAGGAGCGAGGGTATTAGGCTGATCAGAGGGCATGTTTGTTATATTGTAAGCATTAATACTAACAGGTGAGGAGCGAGGGTATTAGGCTGATCAGAGGGCGATGTTTGTGCTAGAGTTTTGTGAATGAAGATATGCAGATTCCTCAATAATAACTAAATTGGCTTTTGCCATTGTTTTTCCCACTATCCTTTATTGCAAAGAAGCATTTCCAAAAGCACTATAACCATGTCATGGAACTGTTAGTAGCTGAGTCCCCTGGCACCTTCTCTCCATTCAATGTTAAACCATTTCAAACAGTTTAACCCCTTAAGGACACATGACATGTATGACATGTCATGATTCCCTTTTATTCCAGAAGTTTGCTCCTTAAGGGGTTAATGCTGAACCACGGTCCGTGGCCACACACAGCCAGGCCCCCACTAAATGTACGGCTTAGGCAGAGTTACACTTCTTAGCCATGCCAATTCAAACAAGCAAGGTGATAGGCTGAAAGAGGTCAGCTGACACTCTCAGCCAAACAACACCATTGCTGCTCAGGCTAATCCTACCTCATTAGCCCTAGCAGCCGGAGACTGAAGTTTACTATCAACAACTTTAGCTTAACAACTCCTTTTGTTTTGAAGTTGCTATAGTGCCTGCAATCCTGCCCCACCATTCTACTAGTGATGTCCCGAACGGTTCGCCGCGGACTCATCATTGAGTAAACTTTGACCCTGTACCTCACAGTCAGCAGACACATTCCAGCCAATCAGCAGCAGACCCTCCCACCTCCTGGACAGCTCACTAAGAATGCAGCTTCACAATGCAGGGTCTGCTGCTGATTGGCTGGAATGTGTCTACTGACTGTGAGGTACAGGGTCAAAGTTTACTCAATGATGAGTCAGCGGCGAACCGTTCGGTGAACCGTTCGGGACATCACTATTCTCTACTACCTCCCAAATCCAGTTCACAAACGCGAGCAGGAGGCTACGGCAGCACTGCTGCGGCAAGGAAATTCATTATACCTATTTATTCTTTAGCTAGCTTGTAACATGTTTATGTAAACACAGTAAAATACTAATTATGACACAATGGTGTAATATTCATGGAGCATATCTGACTTCACCATATTTGCTCTCCGGATGCAATCCAACCTTGCCTTCATTACCCTTTTTTTTTCAGCAAGGAGTAGAGAGTTACTGAAACAGAATTGTTTGTGCCTTCTGTTTCCATAGTAACCAGCAGCAGGTTGCATTGTGACTACAGAATCAGTAACATGTCACAGTTTAAACAGGATTTTGCAGTCTTCCACTGTTGTTATTCATTTAAAGGCATGACTGTCCATGATTTCTAAGAATTATTTTGCATATCAGACATTATACACTTGTGGCTAAATTTAAAGCTGTGGGTGACAGTTAGGGTAAATATCACAGAGGGCACATATATGTTAAAATTTGACATATTTTGTCACCCATTGCAGGGCTGTTTTAAAGTAACACTCCACTGCCTAAATACAGAATACTTTTTTTTTAAAAACACTGTTTAGTAGATCTTGCATATATTTAATTATGCATTTTTTCATTCTGAGTATATTCAAAAGCAGCTTGCAAAACCTACAGATCTTTTGTCTGCTACCTTTGCAAGCCCTCCCCTTCTAACCCCGCCCAGACTTTCTGTTGCTGTCCAATCACAGACTTCCCAATACAGCTCAATGAGAAGTCTTTGCAAGGCAGGTGCTCTGAGTTGCTGCCTCTTGAGTTTAGTTCCACGGAGCTAACTAAACCAGGAAATAACAGGACCTGTTGTCTGATTGACAGGCAGGAGAATGGAACCAAGTTAAAGGGACACTCCAGGCACCCAGACCACTTCTGCCATTGGAGTGGTCTGGGTGCCAACTCCCACTACCCTTAACCCTGCAACTGTAAATATTGCAGTTTTCATAAACTGCAATATTAACATTGCAGGGTTAACTCCTCCTCTAGTGGCTGTCTACTAGAAAGCCACTAGAGGGCACTTCAGGGTTTATAGCACAGATTTTCTGTGCTATAGTGTCGCTGGACGTCCTCACGCTATGTGAGGACCTCCAGCGTTGCTGAAATCCCCATAGGAAAACATTGAAAGCATTTTTCAATGCTTTCCTATGGGGAGGTCTAATGCGCGTGCGCGGCATTGTCACGCATGCGCATTAGGTTTCCCCCGTCGCCGGCCGCTCATGCGCAATAGGTCTCCCACTGCCGGATGATGTCCCTGAACCAGCACCGAGGGACATCGGCGCTGGATAAAGGTAAGTCACTGAAGGGGTTTTAACCCCTTCAGCAACTTGGAATGGGGGATAGGAGGGAGAGGGGACCTGCAGTGCCAGGAAAACGGATTGTTTTCCTGGCACTGGAGAGTCTCTTTAACTTATACAAGTATACATTTCTATTAAAATCTGCACTCTTTGCAAAAAGCAAAAATAGGACACACTTTTCACACGTAAAGCTTTTCAGCAAGTAAAGCTAAAGTGCTTTAGGGGTCTGGAGTGTCCTTTTTTTTTTTTTTAATTCTTTATTTTTCGTGCATAGATTATACATGTAACAGTTTTCTAGCGGTGCCACAACAGCTATCGCCAGGGTTTGGGTAGATATGCAAATACAAATGTATGGCAGGAATAACTTTGCACATTTTTATGTATATATGAGAGGAGTAGTAGACAGAATATTGTAGTATAGGTACTGTGGTGCGATTTATGTAGAGTATATGTCAGCTGGCTCAGAGATGAATTGGTCGGTTGACCCCGGTGTGCTGGGACCGTACTCTTATGAGTAGTGTGTGGGTTGTAGGTGGTTGAGTCGTGTACCTCTGTGTGTATGTAAGGTAGAGCCTTAAGCCATGTTGTTAGCTCCGGTATGCTGTTCTTAATAGAGGGTGAATACATGGTTCTTGTTGTAGTAAGCGTGGTGTGTGGTTAGGTTGGTTGATGTGCGTCTGAATGTATGCATGTACAGCTCCTCCGTGGAGTGCATGTGATGGATGCATATGATGGGAGCTGGGGGGGGTAGTTATTAAAACGGAGCCAGTGTGTCCGGGGTAATTCACATTGTTGGCCGTGTTTGGCCTCAGTGTGTAGGTGTGTTACAACTTTGTGTAGTGATCTAAACGTTTGTCATATAGTCAACATTTAACAGAGGGCTAAGCCCAACATAGAGAGTAGGAACATATAAAGAATGTATAGGCTTATGAGTCAGGTGTTCTCCCTCCCAGGTCCTCCCTCTGAAGCAGGGATGAACGGGACAGTTTTCGCTGGGTCCCAGGTTGTAGAGGGGGATGTTGCTGTGAGGCCCAGGGCCGCTAGGACAGTGTCCATTTCCGAAATGTCCGCCACCTTATATTCAGTGTCTTGGTACTGAATGAGGAGTACATGCATAGGACCCCAGCGGTACTTCACTCCCTTAGCAGCCAGCGTAGTCGTCAGCGGACGGAGGGATTTCCTCCAGAGCAGAGTATTGCGGGAGAGGTCAGAGTAAAACGACAGTTCCATATCTTCAAATCTATAGGGGCTTGTCCCTCTGGTGGCACTCATGAAGGCTGCTCTGTCTTGGCCGTTTTGGAACTTAATCAGTAGATCGCTGGTAGTTGCGCTTGAGGGTGTTGATGGTTTGGGCAGGCGGAACATCCCATCTAGTTGTATTCCTTTGGCTTGCCTGGGGGATAAGAGGGCCGTGAATAGCCTTCGCATAAAGTGAGGCAATTCTGCTGGGAGAACTCTATCAGAGAGGCCTCTGATTTTTACATGTTTCCACCGTCGTTTATCTTCCATAGCTGCTAGTTGGTGGGTGAGAGTAGTGTGAGCAGCTGTCAGGTCGGTGACCTGTCTCTGTAGTGCCAGGACCTGTGTTGAGGTTGTTTGGGAGGTCTGTTCCACTGCAGTAAGGCGGGCAGTGAACCCCCTGATGTCTTCCCTCACCTGGGTTATTTCAGTGGAGAGCGTTTGGCGGAGGTCCATGAGGAGATTAGTGATTATCTCCGTGGTGACCGGGTGAGAGGAGCCTGCTGTCTGCTGTGGAGGCTTGGGGGGCCCTTTATACCCTAGCGTACCTGGGCTGTGTAAAGGGACCTCTTCTGAGCTGTCAGTGAAGTCGTCGTAGTCAGCCGCCATATTGGATCCGGCCGCACCATGCGGTCTCCTCAGCAGGTCTCCTATGTCCGCTGTAAACCGCGGCTGATCCGCCCGCGGCTTTTTATTTTTCCTCCCCATCTTTGTGGCTTCTCTTTCCGACCGTCGGCCGGGTCTTGTGAGGCTTGATGTCGGCAGTATTTAAGCCGTTTGTGTTACCCGACCGGGAGAGCTGCAGTCGTGCGTCCGATCTCGCTGGGCGCTAGCTCCGCCCCCCTCCTGGAGTGTCCTTTTAAAGACAAGAATGATGAAAATACTTTAAGTGAACTGGAATTGCAGAAATCATGTTAATTAGTTTTAATAAACAACATTACTACTACAGGAATAATTTACTCTCAGAGGCTAGCTGATATTGCGAGTTATCTTTAAATTACCATTGTGAGTTTTATGTTTTATTCTGTTAGTTCTAACACATGGCTTGACAAATTTGCTTTGAATTTAGGAGCCAGTTTTTTTCAATGACAAAAATAAAATTGTTAAAGGAACACTATAGTCACGAGAACCACTGTACCTTAATGTAGTGGCTCAGGCGTCTATATACTGTTCCTTTAAGAATTGTATTACCAGCTGCAACTAACTAACAGCTCCCATTATTCTCTTAGGGAGTCTCTACTCCTTATTGGTGGCTGCTAACCCAAAAACGTAACACTAATCTATAGTCTGTTAGATCCCTATACATAGTGGTGGGATTCAGCCGGTTTGCACCAGTCCGCGTGAACCTGTTGCTAAAATTTTACAAGTTCACCGAACCGGCGCAGACCAGTGGAGCATAGAAATCAGTTGAGCCCTTCCACTTTAAATGTAGTGCTCAGGAGCGCTCGCAGGACTGTGCCTCTTCTGGCACAGACCTACTTTCGCCCCTGCGCGCTGTGTCTCTCGTGAGTAGAGAGCGGGAATGATCTCCAGCTTTGCATGTTGGTGAGGAGCAGTGAGGACACGCCACCACAGTAAGTGTATATTACTGATATGGGGTGGTCTGATGGGTGCTGTGAAGGTGGGCTTGGGTTTTAAAGGGTGAGGGGAAGGTGCCATGCGAGTTGGGGATTCACATTTGTTAAGATTTACAGTGACTTAGCTCTGGAGTCTCAGTCTCATTACTCTCAGGCAGGGAGTTACTCTGCCTGAGAGTAATGAGACTGAAACTCCTGAAACATACAGGTTTCTCTGTGTGCCTCAGCCACTCACCCTGCTGCTGCCCAGGGTTTCTGCCATGATTGTGTCTGCCATCAGAATGGCCCCTCGTGGCCCTTGGCATTCATGTCAGCTGACAGCAGGATGTAAATAGACCCCAGTCATGTTTGAAGAAAAGAGCAGGAAAAATAGGATTTGAAAAAGAAAAGATACGAAAAAACTGCCAGAGATTGAGAAACAGGGACAGAGTGGACATAAAGGGTTTAGACAATTGGGAAAAGGAGGAGGGAGAAAGAATAGATAGAGAATGTGTTGGCACTGGCCATGTGTGTGTTTGTGTGTGTGTGTGTGTGTGTAAGAGCCAGTTTGTGTGTGAAAGAGACTGTGTGTGTGTAAGAGCCAGTGTGTTTTGAAGAGCCAGAGTGTGTTTGTGTGTGTAAGTCAGTGTGTGTGTGTGTGTGTGTGTGTGTGTGTGTGTGTGTGTGTAAAAGCCAGTGAGTGAGTTTGTGTGTGTGTGTGCGCATAGGAGCCAGGGAGCATGTGTTTGAGCAAGTGTGTGTGTTTTGTGTATGTGTGCAAGGTGGTGCCTGGTACTGCAGTTCCACGTAATTTCACGCTGGCTACCAGAGGCCAGCAACAACAGGGATGGGTGGGAGATGCACCATGGGACACTGGGGAAAGGGAGGAGGAGACTCACTATGGACACTGGAGGGAGTGGAGAGAGACCACCTCGGGCGGGACACTGAGGAGGACACCACTACATGGGAAACTGCGACCCACCAAAGCGATCACCTGGGAAGAAGAGGAGGGAGGAGGAGGAGCACTGGCACATGCAGAGACCACTCGACACTGGGAGGGAGTGACAGTGACCACCAAGGGACATCACTGGGAGAGAGACCACCTCATGGACACTGGGAGGGGGGTTAGGAGGAGAGACCACTACAAAGATGGGGGTGAGAGAGACTCCACCACCTGCTGGATGGGAGGAGAAGAGACCACTAAGGTACACTGGGGGGAGAGAGGAGAGACTACTAAGGGACTCTGGGGGGATGAGGAGAGACTACTAAGGGACACTGGGTGGTGGGCGGAGAGACCACTAAGGGAAAGATGGGGGGAGGAAGAGACCACTAAGGAAAAGATGGGGGAGGGGAACACTTAGGGACAGGAGGGAGAACACTATGGAGGGGGGAAGGGGAGAGCACTAAGGGACAGGCAGGCAAGGGAGAGCACAAAGGAAGGGGAGGGGAGATCACTAAGGGACAGGAGGGCAGTGGAGAGCACTAAGGGACAAGGAAGCAGGGAAGAGCACTAAGGGACAGGAATGGAGGGGAGAGCACTAAGGGCCAAGGATCAAAAGTGAAGGGGAGAGCACTAAGGGACAGGAGGGGAGGGGAGAGCACTAAGGGACAAGAGGGAAGGGGACAACACTAAGGGACAGGAGGGGAGGGGAGAACACTAAGGGACAGGAGGGGAGGGGAAAGTTCTAAGGGACATGATGGGAGACCCCTAAAGGACAGGGGAGAAGTGGAGTTGAGACCCTAAGGGACAGAGGAGAAGTGGAGTTGAGACCCTAAGGGACGGGGGAAGTGGAAGAGATCATTAAGGGACAGGGGGAGTGTAAGACACACAGAAAGGCTGAGGGAGGGGTGAGGAGAAGCACAGCAGGGCTGGCAGGGAAGAAAGAGACAGAGAGTCGCTTTGAGGGAGACACACAGAGGGGCCTGGGAAGAGTAAGACACAAAGGGTCTTGAGGGAGTAAGACACACAAAGGGGTTTGTAAGACGTATACCAAAGGGGAGTGTAAGGCACAAAACTTAAAGAAAAAATATACAAAATATATATATATAAACAAAATAAATATAATAAAAATAAAGAGCTGCTCCCCTCTCAGCCCCTATCTTACCCTGCAAACCCTCTCTTTCACACTACACACATACACAATGCATCCTTACACATACACAGCAACACACATGCACAGAATGCATCCCTGCTCACACACACACACTGAAACATACAATGCATCCTACACTCACACAGAAACACACCATTCATCCCTTACACACACAGAAACACACAATGCATTCTTTACACACACACTGCATCCCTTACACACACAAAATGCATACCTCACAAACACACACACACACAATGCAGGCCTTGCACACAATGCATCCCTTACACACATAGACACACACATTGCTTCTCTTAATGCATCTCTTACACACACTCAATGCAACCCTTACAAGCACACACACTGCATTACATTACATACACAAAAACACACCATACTCCTTTACACATACAAACACAGATTCACACAATGCATCCCACACACACACACACACACACACACACATATTGCATTCTTTACACACAAACACACAGTGCATCCCCTATATACACCCACTACATCCCTTACACAAGCTGGTATCCCTATACATTACATTCCATAAGAACACACACACATTACATCCTCTACAATAACACATAACACAACCCCTACACACATACACTCCCTGTGAGCAAACTCATGGGTGGGCCTTGTAGTGGTTCTGTTGTCTATAGCCTGTCCTTGCAGGCTTTTTAATGTAAACACACTGCCTTTTCAGAGAAACGACACTGTGTGCAGCACTGGCATTAGCCCATATGGCAGATCCTATGGGTGGCCATTGTGATGGGGGGGGGGAGCTGCAAATTTTTGTTTGCAAAAATCCTTGCACCGGCCCTGCTCATACACACCCTGCCGTCCCATGTCCCCCTCACCCACTCTTTGCTGCCCCATGTCCCCCTCACACACACTCTGCTGCCCCATGTCCACATTACACACACTCTGCTGCCCCATGTTCCCCTCACACACGCTACCACTGTCAGGGTTTCTTTTCTGTTTTAAACGGCAACCCTTCCTTTCTCTGTGTCTGAGCTTTCAGCTGATTTTAACAATCAGCTCCTTCGTTAATGTTGCCACGGTTACTCACCTGATTGTAGTAACCAGCCCTGCTGCTAATCAGTGCAGCCTATTTAAGCAGCAAGTCCCAGTACCTCCTTGCCCTTGCGTGGTTTCCAGTTTCCCAGAAGAAACCCCGTTTCCTGTGTATTCCTGGTTCCTGACTTCTGGCCTTGTTCCTAACTCCGCTGCTCTCCGTTCTCCTGATCCTGGCTCGTCTGACTACCCGCTCTGGTGCCTGATCCCTGCTTGCTTCCTGGACTTTGCTTTTGGATTATTTCTTTATTTGCTATTTATGATAAAGGTGTTTTGCATCTACGTTCTGTCTCTTTCTGGTTCCTGGTCCCTAACATTACGCAAGGGCCATGAATACAGAAGGTACAGGCAATCCACCCATATTATTTATTTATTTATTTATATTTATAAAATATTTTACCAGGAAAGATACATTGAGATTTCTCTCGTAAGCTGACATCGTACAGATGATCTGATGCTGTGCTAGAAGTGGCGAAGGAGGGGGTATATCTAACCTATTTACTCGGTAGGACCAGCATAACCACCATTTGGACCAGTGTGCGCATGCACTCCAGGCCCTCCTGATTCGTACTGCACATCTGGATCCAGCACTCAGCCAGCCTGCGACTGCAGCCGCCTCTGCCTCACTTCCTGTTCTAGCACCGGTTGTAGCCTCCGAACCTGTGACGGTTAGAGCAATAACTGGGTCTGTCCCGCTCCCTCAGTATTTTGGGTGCAACCCAGCTCAGTGCAGAGGATTTTTAAACCAGGTTGGAGGATACCTTGAAATGGTTCCCCAGGCATTTCCTACTGACAGAAGCAAAGTTTGGTTCATGATTTCTTTGCTGTCTGATAAAGCCCTAGCTTGGGCAGATCCTCTCTGGGAGGCAGAGAGACCTGTTATTTACAATTACCCTGAATTTGTGGTGTCCTTTAAAATGGTATTTGATATTCCAGCTCACCCCCCTTCTTCTGCCAAACAACCCATTTCTAATGCACAGGGCACGAGAACAATTTTCGAGTATGCCAGTGAATTCCATATCTTGGCAGCAGAGGGTGGCTGGAACAACGACACTCCAGTGACTGCCTTTTACATGGGGTCTCCGATGCTATTAAGGATGAGA